GGAGACAGATAACAGGTTACTACCAAGTTGTGGTATGAACAATACCTCTGTAAGTGACAGTTTCCCGATTGGGACATGATCAACTCCGATGCCATTGATTGTTGACACATCTGTAATCACAATCCCACAGTGAATGATCTTCTCATAAATCTCAGGTATTCACAAGCTCCTGTTTCCACACAAATGCTGACTTGCACCAGAATCAACAATCCACCGTCTATTGGAACTAATTTTGGATTACTGCTCTGTACCAGTAATGGTATACCCATCTCCCTCCTTACTCTCTGCTGACTGTTACGTTTCTGTATCTTCCGCAAATTTTTGTTTGAAACAATCACATTTCTAATGTCCCTCCTTTTGACACTAGAAGGACTTTCCCTGTAGTTTCTTGGATTGTGTGTTGTCTTTGGTGCCTCCAGTACTGGAAAAGAGGTTTGGAGCATGTGTTTTGTTGGTGGGTATTGTCCATCATGTTTGTGTAAAGCATGCTACGAATGCAGTAGTAGTATCCTTTTGTCCTTGCTGGTTCTGTATTCTTTGAGCTACATGTAATCTTATTGACTCCTGCAGTAGCCGTCCAGTGAACATATCGAGATTCACCTCATCGCTCTGTGCTTGGATAGCCATAATCAAGGACTTATCTGATTCCGGTAGACCTTGACTCAGAAGCGTAATAAGCTCACTTTCATCAATTCCTTCACCCCCCAGAGACAAGCCCTGTACTAGGTTTGCTAACTCCCTAAATCTGTTCAGGTGGTCGGCCATATCCTTTTAGTCACCCATCCTCAGTGCCCACAACCGCTGCATGAGGACCATCCTTCCCTTGGCACCAATTTCCTGGTGCACTACCTGTAGGGCCTGCCATGCTACCCGAGGTGACTCGCAGTTCTGAATGTGAGTTATCTGCGAATCCTGAATGTTTAAGGTAATGTTGGTGAATGACTGATTATCCTGCTGAACAGCCTTTGAATTATCATCAGAGGAGACCTCTTGTTTGACTGCTGTGAGTAACCCTTTTTCCTTCCAAACTCCAACAATTCTGAACTTCCATGCATCGTAGTTACTGTCGCCACTGGCGAGGAATCCATCCAGTTTTTTGATTGACTGGGTAAGAGAGGTCATTGCTGACACTGTGGAATTATCTTTGGTGCGAGCGGTAGAGGATGATTTGGCCATTGCAGATATCTCGTTATCAACTTAGGATGTGGCAGGTGCGCTACCCAGGCTCAGAACCTATTGTAAGATATACGGGATATTTTGAACAAGGGGTGGAACGGCGGTTCCCATGGCTCCGGCAATGGCAAACAAACAGGGATCGTGGCAATAGGCCAATCGGAAGCCCGCCGAGTGATGGGCTATGAAACGAAATGCCAAGATTAAGCACGCAAACGGATCGCACAAGGCTAAGAAAAAAAACTTTTCACTTTCACTCTCTCTCTCCCGCTCCCCTAACTATGGCATACTCATCTAACTAACGGCAAACATAGGAGACTATGTCAACCACAGACTCCCCTCACCCCCCAAGGTAAGTCCTCCGCTTCCCTCTCCTGAGCAAACACACAAACTAACAAAGGAAAGACAAAGTCGTGCCTCCCCCCCCCCAGGTGAGTCTCCATACCCGAGCAAACAAGAAAAGAAAAGCTAACAAAGAAAGAAAGAAAGATAAACTTGCGCTTCCACTGTGCGCTATTCCGCGGTGCTCTTCCGCCGCGCTTTTCGTGCGCTCCTCCTCCGCGCACTCTTCCTGCGGTCCTCCGCCGCGCGCTCTTCCTGCGGTCCTCCGCCGCGCACACTTCCTGCGGTCCTCTGCCGCGCGCTCTTCTGTCGCTCTTCCTGCGGTCCTCCACCGCGCTCCTGCTGCCGTCCTCTGCCGGTCCTCCACCGCTCTCCTTCTGGAAAACTAACAAGCAAGCAAACAAGCAAACCAATGCGGGATGGGAAGGAAAGGGGGACTGGGGGTTAGGAGATGAAAATGGGGAGAAGGAGGGAAGGGGTATGAGGAGGACGGGGAGAACGGGGAAGGGGATGATACCGGGCAGGTGTGGGGAGCAGCTTGGATTTCCAACAGGATATGCCTTGTGGGAGAATGGAGGAAATAAAGGCAGGATTTTGACGTCTTCTGCTTGCTCGATTTTTCTATCTATGGGGCAATAAGGGAGGGTTTATATAGAGTGATGATGCCCATAACCACAATCAGGATGCCTATCAACATGCCGTGAAAAAATCTTCCGTATCCTAAAACATGATCTCCCAGCATTTCCGGTATCTCCCTTCTCTTCCGAGGTCCAGCTCAGACAGAAGTTCTCGTACCCACATCCACTGTACCCGGCATACCGAGCCTTACCGAAAGACTGCTGAAGACACTGCCGTGAGAGACCATTCCTGTATTCTGAAACTGAACATGAAATAAAACTATACTAGCAGGAGAAATCTCTGCTCGTGTGAAACTCACATACAAAGCCACCAACCGCCATCACCAACCAGGTTGACCAACAAGATCTAGAACAATCCAGCGACAAGTGAGTACCCATGACTTTCAATAGCAAGGGGGTGCCCAACGGCAAGGGGGTCCTGGGCAGCAAGATGCCCAAGAGCAAGTAAAACATAGAGCGCCATCGCAGGCTTCCCGTCGCCCTCACTACAATCCCTTTCCCGCCGTCTGGGAAACATGGACTAGAAATGCCCACCGAGCTGTTCTGAACCCTCTTATCGGCGGATGTCTCTGGGCATTCTCATTGCCACCGGGCAGCCTGTACTTTACTGGCTACCTCCCCCCTGAGATCCAGCGTGTCTCCCGTGTACTTCTGCATTGGGTTATTAACTTATTTGGCCTCTTCTTTGCCTTTTGTATCATATTATGGACCATCGGATGGTGCAGAAAATGTCGGGAAAGGAGGTTGGCTGCTGTTGCTGCCCCAGCCCCTGATAATGCTGTATAACTGTTTTAGCTTTTTCAACTTTGCTCTAATTGCTTCACTGCCTTTGTTCTTATATTATCACAGCTTGTGACATTTCCTACACTATTCTGTGCTCTTGAGGTGTCCTGAATGCTAATTTGATAGCTGGTATGTTAGAACTAAAAATGAAAAACTGTTTTTCCATGTTGTCCCCCCTAGCCTGTGTTGCAACAGTGTGTCTGGGTCCTACCACAACCGTGCGCTAACCCTTGGTTGTGCCATTGCTTGTGCCCCTGCCCCAGAGGCCTTCACGCAGTGTTGGCAACTGGGCCGTCCCGTCCGGTCATTTTCTCAATATTCTCGACAAGTAGGAACGAAAGACTGGGACGGACAACATTATATCGTCCCGTCCGGTCTTTTCCTAACCTTGCCCGACACATAAGAGCAAAGGACCATTCACCGACAGTCCCCTGCCGTCACCCACAGTCATCCACCGCCCCCTGAGGTCCCTTATACCCCCAGCCCTTCCCCGCTCTCCCCTGCCGCCCCCCGCCATCCCCTACGATTCACGGTGGTCTTATGTAGCCACCTGCCGTCCCCTACCAGAAGTTGTCTCAGCTCGTGGGGCTCACCGCCCTTCCCAATGCCGGCCGTCGTAGGAGTTCAGGGACGAGGACGGACTATATTGTGCCTTCCCGTCCCGTCCCGGGCTCTTGGCAGTCCCAGCGCCGGACCGTACGGGGGCCCCGGACGGTTGAGAACACTGCGTTCACGCTTAGCTCTGAAGTCGTAGACTACGGAAACATTCGTACACCCGCTAGCTCATCGCCTGGTCCAGGTAGCTAGACGGATATGGTAACCCTGGGTGTTGGGACGAACCAATCGCTCAGAAGAAGGGTCATCTACCACGCCGAGGTTATACTGCCAGATATAGTATCATCCGTTAACCTCTATCTTGCCGTTTCAAAGGTTCCTGGCTCAGAGTACCAGCGGAATCCACTCAGACATGCATAGGGGTGTAAAGAACATCAATGAGAGCACACCCTTAAGACGATGGGCAGGGAAACTAGTTCAATCACATTTAAAAATATGATCCAGGATGGGGCGGCCTACACCGCCCCACGGCATTGAATATTCCCGAGAGGCCAAGGGTGACCGCCGTTGATGCTTGCTGCGGGTATGACGAGTCTTTCTGCTACCAACCGTGAGAATGGGAAAGATCGTATTATTATTCCACAGCTCAAGATTGCAATTTTTGCTTTTGGTGGTTCTTAACACAGACTGTTGGGCGCCCCACCGTGGAGTAACTCTTTGGGACCAAATGGCACGTATGATGGCTGGTCAGGTTTCATATGAGATGAGGACCCACCTTCTCTCCCGGGAATAATTGTGGAGCTGGTGGTGGAGTGTAGCGATGCCGGCATCAGTGTGCATGCCTCCCCTGCGGGGGATTAGCTGAGTTCGGTATGCGGGCGGTGGTACTGGAGTGTTCGGATCTGTTGACAGAATTTTCCCTAAATAGGGGTGTAATAATACGAGATGTAAAGATCGGCCCGGACGATAAGGCAAAGGATCTGGGCGCATGAATCTGTTGTGTGAGTGGTGAGGAGGGAGTGCATATTGCGGGGGTAAAATACCGATTTCGTACAGGTGTTGCAGTGCGTGCTCTTGTGAGGGGTCATACTTGCGGATTAACTTATCTTTTCTGTGCCCGATGCCAATGGAAGACACTCTTGCGAGTCGATTGTCACTAAAAAGCTGATGTAACACGCGCATAAGTGAGATTTTGAGCACAGTTGTTGTTGGACTGATGTGGTCTCCCCTGTAGAGCACCCTGCGGCCTGCTTCAAGATTGGCGGCTGCAACAATAACTAAGTACAAATTCCCTCCACACAACAGCAAGGAGGGGAAAAAAACAATAATCAAAATAGGTTAGTACAAGGAAGCACAAGTTCAACCAAGAAGAGCAAGCAAGCAGAAACAGGAAAAAGAAAAATAGGTTGGCATTTCCCTGGCCAACCATTCATGCCTACGATCGAGGGACCCCCCCAAACACCGCTCTGCCCAAACCCACCCCACCACTGCACCCCCCATCGCACCATCTCAAGACTGATAGGACATTGAGTCCAAATGCCGTCCTATTGTACCTCGGAATTTCTTTGTTACTGCAGCAAGCCTGGACCGGACAGATTCTATCTGCGCATTGCTTAGATGCCGCTTTCCCCTACTCAAGGACGCAGTAGTGCTATCCGAGCCCGATCTGTAAACCCTCTGTTCTTTTAGGTGCTCAACATATTGACGCGAAATCTTTCGAGCTAGAGTGACTCGAAACAACTTATCTGGCCCAACCTCCCGTGAGCACTCGGGTGCAATAACCTCCTCCAAAGGTTCTTCTTCCTTGGGCATCCCCCAAGGCCAGTACCACTTTCTATGTGATCCTCTGGTATGAAACCTTCGTTGGCCCATATCATTAAATGCGTCTAGCCAGGTGCTACAGGCACTGCAACTCAGTTTAGACACTCCAATGTAGGTGAAGGCAGGCACATGGTCCCACGATTCACCATGACTAGTCGCAAGGTATTGGACCAGTGTACATTCGCAGTGCGCCCGGCATACACAAACTCTCTCGTTAAAGCTGTGCGCCAGGGTTGCTGCAACGTCCTCCTGCCAAGGCAATACCTTCCCAGCCGCGATCTCCATAAACTCCTTCCACTGCTGCTGCGACCCGGGTAATTGCACAGTACGAGCCTCCCCGGGGACAGTACAAATAGACATGTCGTATTGGAGGGCAGGCCGGAGGCGGGGAGAGTTGGCAAAGGTAATAAGACACTCAATATGTCGTGTTAGAGAAGTGAGTTTCTCTAGGGCACGGCGTAACCGGAAGGCCTCTTTGCGGGAACTTGAAGGCGAATCTAAGAAAAATTCGGAGTTAGGTCGAGGACTAGAAAATACTTATTATAGACTAAGGGATCTGGATAGGTCGTGTATTGGATACCAAACCCTCATACAACTCCCTCTCAGAAGTCTCCGGGATCAAGAAACTAGAGCTAGGTGTCTGTCGGTTGTCCCGATACCCTTGCATATAATCTGGAATGGGGGTTACAAAGAGCATACCATTGAGTTCTGCAGCCAAAATCTCACAGCCAAAACTATTTCTATCTGCAAGAACCAGCCCAACTTTCTCATTTGCCCACATGCTATAGTTGTATACCCGTTCCCACTCATCATCGGTCAATCCCTGGGCTGGAATAGGATGAAGCCGGTGAATCAAATCACGCACACAGTTCAATGCGGCCAGAACATCGAACAGGTCAGACTCAAACCCTTGCAAGGCGTCCCCTCGGCGTTTGACTAACTCCTTGACAAAATTGAGAAGCGGATCCCACCACTTACTTACTCGTTTCATCTCCTTTTGCAGGGAGAACTGGTATATCTCGCGGAAGATCTTGATCCTCAGCAGGAGCGCCACATCTTCTGGTATATCTGGTGACCCGTCCTCATCTCTGTCCAATCCTCCTCGATTGGCTGCACACTCATCCGATAAGGCTTGCAACAAACTCCACAAATACTGGATATGGGCAACGAGACGAGGTTCAACGTCATTGTTCTCGGCGATAATTAGACGGATTTCCTGCTCTTTGGCATTCAATTTGAGACCCACTGCCACAACCTGTGATCTCTCCTGGGACACAGATATGCTGGCAATGGCATCGAGGATGGGAAATGTCCGTTCACTTGTTTCACGGCTATTGGTAATACCATATTCGGGATTGACCGAGATCGGGTCTATGGAGCGGGAACGGCCATCTTGGTTCCCCTTGAAGGCATGGCTCATAAGAGCAACAAGGCAGTGCGGGTCCAGTTTATCAACCATATTGGGTGATGTTTTTGGCTAACTGGCGAGACGGGATACAGCGTGCTGTTGCTGTGGCGCTGTATCTAAACTGTTAGCACCGTGTTAGGGTGAATGGAGGGGAGTGTCATACTGTTGATGGCCTTAATAACGAGCACCGGTACCACACGTTCACTCACGAGTCCGGTCGGTGTCACGAATGTTCGGCTAAGCGAAAAAATCCAACCTGGCCTTACGGAGACTCTGATTTCCCCACTCTATAATCTAAGTCTAGTGTACTCTAATACAATAAAAAAAACTTTTGGAGAAGAATTGTGTAAGCATATGCTCGTGTGGACCCAACTCATATGTGAACTTACCGTCCGATTGGTGATGAACATTGCAAGAGCTAGGTGGACAAAGGTAACACTGGCTGTAACAGCGTGCCGGCGGTTTGAACGGTTAAGGTAGCAGGAGAGGGTTTTATGAGGGCACAAGAGAAGTGGTTAGACTGGATAAAGATGAAGTTAGCTGCCGTACGTGAAATGGATGGAGAACACTGCTGGTGGCTGGTGTTGTGGGAGGAAGGAAGGGGAAACAGAGCTCAATATCAACAGCACAGGTGTTGTTCCAAGTGGGGGAGCGATCGGGGGTGCCAAGACATCTGCTCCGTCGGTTATTCCAGGCGAAATTGTCTAATAAGTGATGTGTTAAATACCAATCGCAAAGTTGATGGGAACGTATTGTGCCTAGTCTCGCAGGGAATGGCTGCACCAAGACACCTAATCGGTCGGACACCACACCTGGCTTAGTCTACTAAGTCATGTGTTATATGCCAGTCACAGCGAATCTCCCTATGGCACAAGGGACGCAGTTCCCTTGGACTGGCTCACTTGGTCTATATTTATAATTCACCTGGTGTAATCCTTGCATTTCAGAAAGTGCTGTAACCTCCCGTGAATAAAGTACGTTTCAAGGAGAGTGTCTTGTGGTCCATACGTTTTCTAGCCTTCCGGAGGTGTCCTATATATACACAACTTTCCATCGTAGCTAAGGAAATACTCTTCCATGTCCTTTCCTTCGTCCACCGCTATTGCTTTCCGCCATGCTTCCAAAATCCACTGATATTTCCTCCACACCATCAGTGATACTCGACTCCCCCAATACCGTTCCATCCACTATCACAATGACTCTAGTGTGACACTCGTCAGTGTCAGCACATTACTAACCCAATGCCAAAATATTTTCAACCATCAGCGTTCCACTCTAGTTCCAAGAATTTCTCCAAACCAAACATGCTCCATCTTACTTCCTAGCCGATACGCTCCCTGTTCCATATCCCATACAGGCTCCTTATTCCTCTTACATGGTTGAAACCGACTATTCATACTGCGCATCTAATACAATTCTATCCTATCCTCATGTCCACATCCCCGAAAGTAAGGTAAGCTTCGTGAGTTTCAACATATCTCATGACAGGAATATCAGATGAAGACTGTGAGAGGATCTTTCGGAACCTTTGGAACACCCTCGGGATGTCGACTAAGCCATGTGAATTGGCAAAGGAGCCGAAGATGAGATAAAAGGAAGAGAAGACTACTTCCAGTTAGAAAAGGCATGGGATCGAGGGAGCAGGCCGAAGTAAAAAAAGGGAAACCGGATAGGAATCCATTCCATCGAAATTTCAACTAGGGATAACCAATCAACGGGCTCACAAGGCAATTGAATGTAGGCACAAGTGAAGAGTTTCTGCGAAAGGTATAATTTCGGTGGATTGGATCGCACACAGTCGGATCCCCGACACCAAGCGGGCTGCGGAAGACGAACTTTACGCCTGGTTGTAGGTGAGATATCCTCAGTTTGCCTCCCAACGGTACGCGAGCTGGAGAATGGCACGATGTTGGAAATCATTAGCACAGAGAAATGCTCAGAAAATACGAAGTTGATCCTTTCTTGTATATATCAGTCCATTTCTACCCTTAGTCAAATGCATCCGAAGAACGCAAGATAGCGGCAATATACTACCCCAAGGGGTGGAATCATGGGTGGCATATAGCAAAGGTGATGTCTCCATAAATAGGAACGCTCGCAAGTGCTTGCACTAGGTTTCTTTAAGTCTTGAGTAGTCTCGCAACCCGGGAACTCCCATCAAGGCCCAAGGTGTGTTTTGGCCCGATGGGAACCCATCTGCCCTACAAATGGGAACAAGGGACCGTATTATCTTATCAAATGAGGTATCTAGGTACCGGGGTTCTATCTCCACACCGGATGAGACCCGTAATGAAGCCTAGTAACGAACAACAAAGGAATAGGAGAATTGCCTCAAACCGGGTGATTTTGGTAAACTGTAGTTAACGCTATATTGCTATTATCATACTTTTTTGTTCACTACTAGGCCTCTTTAGGGGCTAGCACTCTTGCCGTAGAGATAAGAACCCTCAGTGCCGAGATACCCAATTTGACGACATAATACGGTATAGGATCATTTAGACCATAGAGGTAGCAATGACACCGAGGTAATCACAAATATGGGGACATGTTTAGGAATAGGCAAGGGGTATCAAGGAAGAAGGTTAATCAGGGCGATTGCTGTATTCCGTCATATTTCCTATTTTAATTTCTCTTTCCACAGCACTTGCACCCTCCATAGCCGGCGATACTGCACGCCCGCGCCCAGGACCAGTAGGCCTGAGCGCCAAGGAACTGCCATATCCACCGGATGTCTTCATGTTGCAATTCATCACCGGCAGTAGATACAGTGTTGAAATTGTTACTTCTATGTTATGGAAAGAGTCGGACTGCCAGTGTGCGGTTATCAAGCGTTCCATCTGGGAACTATGATGTAGATCATCATACGAGTCATTCTGATGTTCGATTGATTAGACAATGATCAGACAGCAACTATAAGAGTGATGGACTTAGGTACATGTACTATGCCAGTGAACTACCACGGTTTTTCTCATAAAAATTGATCTCTCCATCCTCGAACCCTTGCGTGTGATAAACTAGATTCCTCCGCAAAAAAACCGACTCTTCTCCTTGACTTACAACATACAGGCTATTCTAGATACCGGGTGATATGGGGTGACCACACCCTATTCCCGCCCGCCTACCTACCAGACATGCTATCATGAGAGCGTTCACTAAATCTAGTGTAGGGTGAAGGGTACCACTGTGCCATGAACGAAGCTTCTTTCATCGCATTTTTTCCATCCTTGCCTAGCCCTAAGACATTGTGCAAACAGCCGGCTGGATGTAGATCGGTGTAATGGGGCTCAGTAGGTATGCGGAATCGACCCGGAGCTTATAAAGCTCGCCGAGGATGCTGTCTAATGGCAACCCCTCAGCTTTTCATTTACTATAATCCGTAGAGTTTGTTGAAATATTGTCTCCTGAGTGCTCAATTTTATCCATTATCCCCGTGCAGATGAAAATTTCTTACCCACCTCTCCCTTGTTCCAGAATAGAACCCTTGTTTCTTCATTGATGGAGGTGAAAACTTTCACCCACAGAGGCATGGCATGGGGGGTGGCACGTGTTATGAGAAAAGACCTGTCCAACTAGTTAGAACCAACCGTGCGAACCCTGAACCAAAAGTTCCAACCGATCTATGTATCTAACACTGATATATGCACCTGTGCTCTTACTTCTCTGCTTTTTTTCTTCAGAGTTCAAGGTATAAATCTTGAAATATCCACCATGATTTCCCTGGCCTTCGGCCTACGGCAACATCCCGATTTATAACCCACAGCCTAGCAGACTGCACAACCATATTTCGGTAGCACGCCAAAGTGGCAGCAGCCCTCCGCAATTCCCTCTTTCCTTTAACCTGGCTTCCCTTGGCGTCACCCTGAAGTAACCGGAACGCTAACCCAGAGTGAATGACAGACTGCCGAGTAAGTATGTAGACCGCTATATTCACCTGACAAATGCCAAGTTCTTCATCAACACCGGGTGTCTTATAGTAAGGTTCAAACCACTCATCCATCCATCCTCCCCATCCCATCTCCCCACTCCTCATGCACCCGCCGATTCCCATTCTCGCTCCTCCAAACAACATTCTACAGGTTAGGCACAAGTACCACAACCGAAACCCCACCCGTGGCACGTGTTTTCTGTGCTGAGTGAGGTAGTGGCTTGGGCCCGCGTGAGCACCCCATTCGTGTATGCTCCGCCCCGACCAAGTACTAGCGAATCTCACCACCGCGATCCACTCCCCCAACCACTCGCGGCGCTAACTGGGCAACCAGGTCGGTGTCCCGGGACCTCATGGCCAGGAGGCCCAGTGATCAGCATGAGCCACAGCGGTGGAGGAGCTGAGGCAGCAGAGCGATGTCGTCCACCAGGTGTGCGGAGTGTTCAAGAAACCATGAGCAGTGTTCGCAACGGGGCGCTCCATCAGGTCATTTTCTCAACATGCTCGACAGGTAGGGATGAGGGACTGGGACGGACTGCATTATATCGTCCCGCCCGGTCTTTTCCTAAACTTGCCCGACACATAAGGACAAAGGACCATTCACCGACAGTCCCGTGCCGTCACCCACTGTCGCCCACCGTTCCCTCCCGTCCCTTACACCCCCAGCCTTTCCCCCACCGTCCCCCGCCATCTCCTACGATCCCCGGTGGTCCTACGTCCTCACCTGCCGTCCCCTACCAGAAGTTGGCTCAGATCGTGGCGCTCATCGTCGTTCCTCATGACGCCGTTCCGGGGGTTCTAAGACGAGGACGGACTGTATATTGCCGTCCCGTCCCGTCCCGGGCTCTTGGCAGTCCCTCCGTCGGGCTACACGGGGGCCCCGGACGCTTGAGAAAAGCGAGCATGAGATCGACACTTGGGATAGTGCCATAGTGCAGGCATGATTGGGGAAGAGACGTGGGGGTGGTGTACAAATACCGGCTTCCGAATCGGGACTTTCTGCCGACATGCCATATCACAGGTCATTGATGCCCACACCAAAATCTATGCCTACCACAAATACTAGGCTACGCCGACCAATGCAGTTTCTGCTCCGGTGGGAGCCGAGGCCGTGTTCGCCGCCATC